GATATAACGACATCACTGGGCGAACGGCCTTCCATTAAATTTTACCGGTCAGGGCGCAATATTTCCTAGATGAACTTCAACGGTCACGTGTTCGTGACCAAGACGAGCTCCATAGATGGAGGCATCTGCCCGTGGTCAGGTATGGAGAGCAGTGTGCGCCGTCATGCGACACGCAGCCATAGACACAAACCACAAAGCTGTGGTAACCTATGAACCCTAACAAGGGTTAATGGATTATAATTGAATTCAGTCATTCAAATATGAAAAAAATATTTTTTAAAATAAAAAATCAGTTTTATAGTAACTGCGTTTTAATTGCACAATTTAAACCTTTTAAAAGTTTGTTTTCTAATTATTAATTAAAGGCATTAATTCATATGATCATAATTTATGTATCCGAATCGTTCCTAGAAAATTTGAATAGAACAAAGTTGTTTCCACAATGTCGATAGAACCCTAGCAGATCAAGAATTGCAAAGTTTATTCTGAAAAAAAAACAGCTTCAATCGTCAGAACCTTGTTCGACCCGCCTACAACAACTTCGATTATATCTACCTTCACGGGGAACCCCATCAGGTAGCGAGCGAAATCCCCCACCCCCCTCAATGTATTCTGCATCTAGGTCAGTGGTTCTTAACCTGTCTTCGGACGAATCCCAAGGATTCGATGGGTCGGTTTCAGGGGTTCGCGGAGGTCAATACATACACCTGACTCATATGATTTACGATCAGGTTATGTCAAGGCGAGCGATGGAAGGGTTGGGTTTGTGAAAGTGATGGGGTTCGGTACGACCAAAAAAGCTATGAACCACTGATTTAGATCTAACCTTTTAACTATGATTAGACATACGGGTGGCGGGCGAAAACGGGACGTGACTCGGTATATTCAAGAATACATACCTGCAGGAGTTAGATTACTTGTATTCTTTCCTCTTGCTCCATTGACTTTATCTCGCCGATGATTAAACGCCCTAAAGACATAGCACCCAGAGGCGTAGCGACTCCTTCCGGCGCCCGGGGAGAAACTTTCAATTTGGCACCCAACCCATATATTTTTTAACGCAATTTCCATACTGACAATTGCGATTATTAACTCGTCATTTCTGGTGATGGATGTGTGTCCGCAGCTTTAAGTCGTATCTCCTCCTCAACGAAGCAATATCGAAGACTAGTTCCAAAAGCAAATATGTTAAGCAAGGTCCAAGGATGATTGTGGGTCAAAACAATTCCCGGAATTCCTTCCTGGATTTTCCGGAAAAGACAAAAAACCTCGAAATAATGCAGTTATTTTGCCCATATCTCGGCAACCAGACCACTTAGCGACTTGAAACATTTACCAATCGATTCCTGCCATAATTTAGAACAACATTGCCGAAGAAAGTTTTCAAAAATATCCTTTCGTTCGGTCACAAAAAATTAATTAAGGAAATTGCGCTTAAATTGTCACTAGACTTTTTATTAACTTGTTATATATTTATAACTCAAAACAGTAGCTGAAATTGGCTTATTTTGGCGCCCCTAAGATCGGCGCCCGGATACATATGTACCCTCCCGCCCCCCCCCCCCCCCCCCCTCCCCGGCGCTACGCCTCTGATGGCACCTATGAATAAAGCACACAGTGATTAGTACTGGATTTACCCAGCCAATCATTTTAGAGATTGGGATAACAAGAGTTCGTTTTATAATGAAAACTTTTTGTTATATTTATATATAAACACGTGTTATAGGAAACTATAATTACATATGCCCATGCTTACATTTATGATTTGATATAAATAAATCAGCGAGATGCAGTATGTATGAATGCATAATGTAAACATTATATTTATTTTTATGATGTATGAAATTTAAATAATACTTAAAGACATAGCAATCCTTTTGAAATGTTGTATTACAGTATCACTCTTGAAAGACAAAAAAGGCTATTCTTTTTTTTTTTCTGAATGCATTAACCGACTAATCGACATACATATTAGTGCTAACTAAATCAAAAACAACAAATTCTTAGCTATTAAAAATCTTAGTAATATTTAAAAAAAAAAAACCATGAATTCTAGGTTATATGAATGTAATATAAGAAGCATTCGGATTATTTACAATAGCTTAACATTAATTTTACAAAGGTAGGGCTTTAAAAATACGCAAACATAAATTAAAGGGCAACAACCGATAAATGTGGTTTTACATCTGCACTAGACAACTTTAAGCACAAATGGGAAACAACCGATAAATGTGTTTTACATCCGCACCAGACAACTTTAAGCACAAAGGGAAACAACCGATATGTAGATTTTTTTTTTTTTTTTTTTTTTTTAATGCCGTGCTAGAGCCGCACAAAGCTTTCACTGATTGATAACTTCCAATTAACTCAGGCAGATATTGATCTATTCAGGTGCAGGCCTGGATAACTTACCTGTGTTACCAAATGTTGGGATTAGGCTGTTGTTGTAAGGAAGTTTTAATCGTGTGTAGCCGTTCATCTTTGGACAAGTTGAAGAAAATGTGTAAAATATACAACTGTTACAGTAACTAAAATTTACCAAATAGTAAATGAAATTTCATATTTAACTGAATAAAAAAGGAATACACCGAAAGTAACGTCAAATAAAATATATTATAGTGTAAATAATGATAAGAAATTACATACCACTGTAAGTTGTAAGCAGTATATATAATGAGCAGAACATAGGCACGGCAAAAATGGTAAGTGGGTAAAAACATGAGAGAGTGCGATGGGGAGAGAGTGACAGAGTGCGAGAGGGAGAGAGGTAAAGCGTGAGAGAGTGTGAGAGTGAGAGAGTGCGATGGGGAGAGAGTGAGAAAGTGAGGGAGTGAGAGAGAGAGAGAGAGCTAGATAGTGAGAGAGTGTGAGAGTGAGAGCGTGAGAGAGTGAGAGAGGGAGAAGGGAGAGCGTGAGAGAGGGAGAGCGAGAGAGTGTAGAAGTGTGAGAGAGACATCGATGATTGACGAGGAATACGGACGGGTTAAATGTGATACCACCCTTCCGCCCTCCCCCCCCCCCCCCAACTACAACTGAAAAAAAATGTCATGTCTAGTACAGCTTTCAATTTAATTAATATCGCAATTTCAAACAGTTATTGAGAAAAAAATATTGATTGTTTATCTTTTCAAAACATGCATCTGTCATTATTCGACCCATACTTTCTGAGTGGGTAGACATAATAGCATCTTTATCATTAATTGAACAATTGTATTCCTGTGTATGTTGGGGGAGGGGGTGTTTATGTTAGCTTTAAAGAATGAGACACAAGAAACCTCGCACGTAATGAACTAGAGACAAACTGTTCATGCAATTTAACACAGGCGCGCTGTAAACGCAAGGAAGACGTCGTTTATCAACGTCAGGCTATTAACACGTTAAACGCGGGTGGGGTTATTTTAGAAGGAATCGAAGCATGTTATGTAGCATGCATTTGTACCAGTTCGATACCATCGTTATTTCACGGTATTCGAATACAGGGCGGATCATTTTGACCCACATCCTTTTTAACCAGGATCCGAGTGTTATTTTTTTAAAGTAAGTTGCAACTAATGTTTTACTTTTAAGTAAGTAAACTTCACTTTCAAACCTGAAGGTCCATGGGGTAAGTGAAGTAGAGTTAACCTGTTTCTTTAACCTCGGCATATAATGGAATAATGTGGTCAGTCGCCTTTTCTTTTCCTGACGTGATTGAGGTACCCATTAGAACTGGGTGGAATCCGGTACGTTTTAGTACTTGAACCCGGATTCGAACTCAAGCATTTCGGGTTAGCAGCCGTATGCTCTACCGTTCGCCTACTTCGCCCCCTTCATTTACTTTTTAATCAATATTTTTTTTTAATCTTAGAAATAATGAGTTCTAGGGTTAGGGAGTAGGATAGACTATGTATACAAAATAAAAATAAAGCATCTTTTTAAACCTCATAGTTCATGGGGCGCAGTGGCGTAGGCAAGGGGGGGGGGGTTAGGGGGGTTATAACTTCTCCCATGGACTCACACCTATATATATATATATATATATATATATATATATATATATATATATATATATATATATATATATATATATATATTATATTTATTATGATTTTATACATATGGAAAAATATTTGAAGCCCTCCTATGAACAATTCCTGGCTACGCCACTGATGGGGCGGATGCAGAGACCACGTGTTTCATTCACATCGGCGTAGAATCGGATTGCGATGTTAGCGCCATTCTTATACGCCTTTACTTTCACTATTTGTATGTATCCATATGGGTATCCGAACTCGATTCGCTCGGGTTAACAACCGTATGTTCTTTCAACCGACTACACCGTCCCATTTTCAGTGCATGGATTACCATTTAAAATAACCAAACTACTATATAAAAGAAAAGTATAATAGACTAAATGACTTGTTTTGGTAGAAACAGAACAAGTGAACTTATACAAACATTTTTTTTTTAACATCGCATTGTTTTGTACACAATCAGCATGTTTCTCTAGCACGTGTAAGTGATGGGTCATGTTGACCAACCAATTTAGATAATAGTTATTTCTTTATTATAAATAATTTATGGAATATCTATGTCGACCTATACTATTTCTAAATTGACGTTTGAAATATCAGGTTTGGGTTTAAAATTGGTCCAATTTTTAGAAATAAGGATATGAGTCATTACCATAAATTACGCAAGCAGAGCTGGGTATCAAACGCCCATAATTAATTTAATGAGCTGCAGTGTTTGTGCTGGGCGGTTGGGCCTCGTTTTGATTTGATTTCACATCGAGAGGAGCGGGTTTGGTTTGATCAGAGAATAAACCAATCGCTGCATGGATCTACAGTGTAAAAGACGAGATAAAAAAGGATATTCTATTGCTATTTCCAAACGTGTGTAAAGCCTAGCCGTACAATTATTTTCGTTTGGACGTATTTTATTTGAGACTAGTACAGCATCTTACAATTGTGTTATTAAAAAGTAGAATTTGTCTGTTTAAAAAAAAAAAAAAGAACCTAGTAAACAATACTATTCTACATCGTTAAAGAAAAAATACAACTTTAACTGTATGCTGGATACATAGAAAAAGTTCAATCAATAAACGGTAAGTTTTAAAATATGCATCATTAGCTTGTTCGAAGCCTTTGATAATATTCTAGAAGACAATAATTAGAATAATCAATAATGTCTGCATAGACGGACCGACGACAGGAAATCAAGGCACGATGCCCGGGCAGAGAGTTGAGAGCTTCCCCTTTCACAAACACCACAACCCCACACACTCCCCACACTCCACACAGTAGACGGACCAAAGGGACAGGACGTTACCTATTCTTGGCAACAGCTCTGTTTGATTAAGGAGTTTTCTAGGAGCATCGAACTTTGGAACTATACATGTATATATATATATATATATATATATATATATATATATATATATATATATATATATATATATATATATATATATATATATATATATATATGTGTGTGTGTGTGTGTATATATATATATATATATACATATAGTGTACACATTTACTGTTGAAATTATAATTGTAATTAGATAGCATTACCGGCCTTTCATGTACTATCTCAATGCAAATCATTTTATAGTACTGATACTGAAGCCATAGGCGACCGGTTAAATATATTTTGTATAAATGTTGGTGATTTTTAAAAAAAAAATATGTTGTACCACTGTATGTGACTTTTAAAAATAGATTTTAAAATATAAAGACGTAAATTGAGCTGAATAAATAACTGACTTTCAATGTGATTAATATGTATGATATTTTTTTTCTATGTTTCAATACAGGTGAAATAAACTGAGAACTATCCCTGTGGTGTAAAGGTAGATAATCACAAGTGATTTTATAATCAATCAGAGAAAGATGAAGAAAGAGTTCAACTATTCTAATCGACTGGCTAGAGGAGACGATGACATAGAACATTTGACAAAACAGGAAGTGGGAGTGTTGTTAATCATCTGCACCTGCATCTACGCTATGACCATTATGTGTGCCGTGATGCTTTGCTTCAAGCGTCGGGAAAAAAAGAAGACCATTATCCAACTCCATATGCCCGAATGTAAACACAAACACGGCTTAGCGCAGTCCAGAAAAGGTTCCAGAGCGCTCGTCGTTAAGTACTTGAAGTCCCGTGACAAGCACGACCGTCCCGTTCGGTCTAAAAATGTAAGGGTAACAATTCGAGAACCACATCCAGACGTGTTGGCCAACGGTGGACTTCTTGGTTTAGATTCGTCTGAAGACATCAGCTCCAGCAGTGAAATCTTGCAGACGGTGGATCTGCCCCCTGCCCTAGAATCTTGTCAGCCCATCCACACTATCTACGATCTTTCGAAACCCAAGAAAAAAAAGGAGGGTGCTCAGCCGAAACAGGAAGATAATAAACTGGTAAGAGTTAATTCGCTTTAATGTTCGGTGTTTCTTTCAGACTTTTTTTATCCGGTTGGTGAGGGGGGGTTGGACTAAATTTTCAGACGGCGAGGAGATGCTGACATTGTTAAAAAAATACATTTTCTGTGTACATTTAAGTTCCTAAGAATAATTTTGCTTGGAAACAACATGAATTTTAAAACATGAACAATTTTTTTTTTTAATTTCAAATTGAGTACCAGTGATTCATCGGCATTATTGAAAACCCATCCCTCTATCTTAGTAGCTTTTTTTTGTCGATCTTCATAGACAGACACATTTTAGTCAATTATTAAATAAGCTTCACCACACCCCATGAACCACTCTCTCCCCATGTTCACCCCAACTCTACTCCACCCCTTCTTCACACACGATCTCCCTATAACATCTTCAGTCTAAACATACCCCTTACCTTCTAACTCTTTTTCACTATTTCGCTGTTTTCCAATAACTATTTTATCGCTATATTAAACCTATACCTATGATAAAGTAATTATCACCAGTTTTAACGTTAACACTATCGATGACCAAAACACTAATTACATTTAGAAAGAATGCGTTAAAAATATAATGAATTTTTTGCACTATGGGGTCGTCCATAATTGACGTCACACTCGTGGGGGAGGGGTGGTTCGCAATTTTGTGAAGTTGAATGATGAGGGGAAAAGGGGGAGAAGGGATCACATGGTGTGACGTACCACTTTTGCATTATAAAAAAACAATGTTAGAAAACGAATTTTAGCCGTTATTTCGCGTTTTAGAAAACTGATTTAATAAATTGTAATAAGAATTGATTAAAATACTCTATGTTGACAGAGTTCAGAAAAGTTTTTGGAAAAATTTCGTATTTTATGAAATTTCTAACTGCATTTTTGAGTGTGGTTGAAGGCTGATGTATGACGTCATTTTGGGGGGGGGGGGGGGTCTGGCTTTTAATGACAATGTGTGATATAGTGGAGGTTAGTGGGGGGGGGGGAGTTAAAAAATCGTTAAAAAAGATAAACGTCATTTATGGATTACACCTATAATGAAAACACACAATTCAGCTCTACTGGGTTTCTGACTCAAATTTTCCTGATAGCCTTCGTACTTGTAGTCTGCCACGCCCACATTGTATACAATCAGTCACTTTTGTTAAAAATAATTATTACAATAAGTACGCCTATAAATAGACTTAAAAAATTGATGCCATTGATTGAAAATTTGTACCAAAAATACTTTTAAACTAATTAATCATTCATTGGACTGGCAAAAAAGCATATTTGTTTTTACATATGTTGCAATTTTTTTTGTCTTGGTGTCCCACCCCCCTCCCCTTAAATGGCGTCACCTGGTACGGTAGGCAACCCCCCGCCCCCGCCTCTAGACCAACATGCTGATAATTTTCTAAGACATGTATGTATTATACATTGTGAAATCAATATATGTGTATGTTTAGCATTGCAAATATTGATTTTTGATCTTTAAATTAACTTGGGTTTAATTAAGATGTATTTATTTTGTTTTCAATACAGGAATTATAAATTTAAAAATCAAAATTTGTTCAAGAAAACACTATGTCTAATATTGGAAGATTTATTTTAATTGTAGCACAATTTGTTTGGTGGCCTAAATAATGAAAACATGTGAATATTATATTCTCTCTATGAAAAAGTCAACATATCCAAGTTTATATTTATTCACCTTTTTATATTAGTATTCAATGTCAAAACACTGGTTATTCTTTTTTTTATTTATTTATAAACTAATGGGTGGAATCGTAGACTGTCCTTAGAAAGACACATTAATTAAAAATAATGAATATCTTCAGAGATTAATCACAAGGCCACAAATTTATTAACCTACAAAAAGACCATAATTGACCACAAGACAACAAGACGACATATTCACGAAGCTACAAAGAAGACCATACACTGACCACAAGACCACACACACACCAACCAACAAAAAATATCACAAACTGACCACAAGACGACACATTGACCGACCAACTAGGAGGACCACAAACTGACCACAAGACCACACATTCACCAACCAACTATGAAGACAACTGACCCCAAAACCCCACATTGACCAACCAACTAGGTAGACAACTGACCATAAGACCACACATTGACCAAACAACTAGGAAGATAACAGACCACACAACGACGCATTGACTACCAACAAAAATATTTGATGAGAAACAGGCTACACTTGATGTGACTTGATGTTTTTAACATATTTTGAAATCTATTTTTTGACCCTTATAAATATGTGTATTTAAATGTTTTAAATGTTAAGCTACATATTATGGTTAAAAATGCATGATAATAGAGCATATTCTACTTTTTCTTTCTTAAACTTATATTTCTTTATTTGATTTTCGGGGCGAGGAAAATGTTTTTAAACATGCCTATTTTTTTTTTCTGGTCTCATTTTCTTCCCCCTTCATAAAAAATTATACGCAACATTTGATGTTAATCAAATAGAATAGTAAGATAAAAAAATCTGGGATAGAAAGTGTTACTAAGGTGTCATCCATAAATGACGTCACGCTTTTTGGGACGATTTTTACCTCCCCCCTCCCCTCGGTCACACGTCGTCACAAAAAGCCAGACCCCCCCCCCCCCCTAAAATAACGTCACACCTCAACCTACAACTCCCCTCAAAATTGAAGTTGAATTTTTTTTAAAACATCGATATTTTTCTAAAATCTTGTCTAAACTATTACAATTTATTAAAACAGTTATCTCAGCCCCTCCACACTATCTACGATCTTTCAAAACCCAAGAAAAAAAAGGAGGGGGGCTCAGCCGAAACAGGAAGATAATAAACAGGTAAGAGTTAATTTGCTTTAATATTCGGTGTTTCTTTCAGACTTTTTTATCCGGTTGGTGAGGGGTGGGGTAGACTAAATTTTCAGACGGAGGGGAGATGACACTGATGAAAGAATATATTTTTGTATACAAGAATATATTTTCTGTATACAAGAATATATTGTCTATATACAAAAATATATTTTCTGTATACAAGAGTATATTTTCTGTAAACAAGAATATATTGTCTGTATACAAGAATATATTTTCTGTATACAAGAGTATATTTTCTGTAAACAAGAATATATTGTCAGTATACAAGAATATATTTTCTGTATACAAGAATATATTCTCTGTAAACAAGAATATATTTTCTGTATACAAGAATATATTTTCAGTATACAAGAATATATTGTCTGTATACAAGAATATATTGTCCGTATACAAGAATATATTCTCTGTAAACAAGAATATATTTTCTGTATACAAGAATATATTTTCTGTATACAAGAATATATTGTCTGTATACAAGAATATATTGTCTGTATACAAGAATATATTCTCTGTATACAAGAATATATTGTCTGTATACAAGAATATATTCTCTGTATACAAGAATATATTTTCTGTATACAAGAATATATTTTCTGTATACAAGAATATATTGTCTGTATACAAGAATATATTGTCTGTATACAAGAATATATTGTCTGTATACAAGAATATATTCTCTGTATACAAGAATATATTTTCTGTATACAAGAATATATTTTCTGTATACAAGAATATATTGTCTGTAAACAAGAATATATTTTCTGTATACAAGAATATATTCTCTGTATACAAGAATATATACTTCTGTAAACAAGAATATATTTTCTGTATACAAGAATATATTCTCTGTATACGAGAATATATTTTCTGTAAACAAGAATATATTTTCTGTATACAAGAATATATTCTCTGTATACAAGAATATATTCTCTGTAAACAAGAATATATTTTCTTTATACAAGAATATATTCTCTGTATACAAGAATATATTTTCTGTAAACAAGAATATATTTTCTGTATACAAGAATATATTCTCTGTATACAAGAATATATTTTCTGTAAACAATAATATATTTTCTTTATACAAGAATATATTCTCTGTATACAAGAATATATTTTCTGTAAACAAGAATATATTTTCTGTATATATACGACTTTCGATCGGGGGTCGTAGAGGTGCCCTGGGGCCAAGAGATGCCTTAAAGAAACACTGTTTATAATGTACAATCTGTGGCGTCTGTCTGTTGACAAACCTTTGTTATAAAAATTAATATTTTGTAAGATTTTCAGTTGCCTTGGTCGGTTCGTTAACATAATTTTGCTTGGAAACAACATACATTTTAAAACATGAACAAAAATGTTTCAAACTGAGTAACAATTGATTCGCCGGCATCATTGAAAACCTGTTCATCTATCTTAGTATCTTATTTTTGACGATCTTCATACAGACACATTTTAGTCAATTATTAAATAAGCTTCACTGCACCCCATGAACCACTCTCTCCTCATGTTCACCCCAACTCTACTCCACCCCTTCTTCACACACGAACTCCTTACCACATACCACTCACCTTCTAACTCAGCACACATTCTTACAATGATTCTTTTCTACTATTTCGCTGTTTTCCAATAACTAGTTTATCGCAGCATTACACCTATCACTATAATCAAGTAATTATCACCGATTTTAACGTTAACACTATCACTAACCATAACACTATTTATATTTAGAAACAATGAGTTAAAAATATTATTATGAATGTGTTGTCGTCCATAAATGACGTCATACTCGTAGGGGGAGGGGAGTCCGCAATTTTGTGACGGTGTGTGATCCCGGGGAGTGGGGGGGGGGGGGGTCAGATGGTGTGACGTCACATGTTCGCATTATAACAAAGGCAATGTTAGAAAACGAATTTTAGCCGTTATTTCGCTTTTTAGAAAACTGTTTTAATAAATTTTAATAATAATTGATTAAAATACTCTATATTAACAGAGTTCAGAAACGTTTTGGTAAAAATATAGTATTTTATGAAAATTCCAACTGCAATGTTTGAGTGTGGTTGTAGGCTGAGGTGTGACGTCATTTTTAGCGGGGGGGGGTCTAGCTTTTTGTGACGATGTGTGACATAGGAGAGGGGGGGGGGGAGTTAAAAATCGTTAAAAAAGATTGACATCATTTATTGATGACACCTATAATGAAAACACACAATTCAGCTCTACTCGGTTCCTGACTCAAATCTTCCTGATAGCCTTCGTACTCGTAGTTTGCCACGCCCACATTGTATACAACCAGTCAAACTTCTGTATAAATAATTATTAAAATAAGTACGCCTATAAATAGACTTAAAACATAGATCGCCATTGATTGAAGCAAGCCCGTTTTATTTCTTCGTCCATATTTCGGAAAAAAGGTCACCCATCTGAAATATAATATATTTAGGCACTGGCGTCGCTAGATCGGGTGTCACCCGATGCGGCAACACATGAAGTCACCACCCCCCCCCCCCACCCCCTCGCCCTTTATCGGGATAGTCAGTTTGTACCAAAACTACTTTTTAACTAATTAATCTTCGTTGGACTGGGAAAAAGCATATTTGTTCTACATATTTTCCATTTTTTTTGTCTTGGTGTCACCCCCCCCCCTTAAATGGTGTCACCTGGTGCGGACCGCAACCCCCGCCCCCGCCTCTAGACCAACATGCTGATAACTTTCTAGGATATGTATGTATTATACAGTTGAGAAAGCAATATATGTGTATGTTCAGCATTGCAAATATTGATTTTTGATCTTTAAATTAACTTGGGCTAATTAAGATGTATTTATTTTGTTTTCAATACAGGAAAAGGATGAAAATATGGAATCATTCGCTGTAAAGGTAGAAATTTCAAACTAATGAAACTACATTATAATTTAAAAATCAAAATTTGTTCAAGAAAACAGTATGTCTAATATTGGAAGATTTATTTTAATTGTAGCACAATTTGTTTGGTGGCCTAAATAAT